AATCGCAGTCCCCTCCCTCTGCCTGCTGGCACGCACCTTAGCTGGCCTGGCACTACCTGCTCACCGGCCCTGCCCCCTGCCAACCAGTCATTCCACCATTTGGTCAATTTGCATATTATGTTTTTATTATATAGGATTAGTGTATATTTCAGCTGATGATTTTGAGCCAGTGGAAAGAGTGGGGTTGAAGATACCCAGGACAAAAGAAGGATTACTGATGCAGCAAGGTCCAGGTAAAAGGCCAGGAAGGATAGGATTCAGAGAACAGGTAAAAGTGTTGCTGTTAGATGGGATGTGAGACAAGAGGGTGAATGCAGGATCATTTGGGAGTTCCCATCTGATGCATTACATTTACTCTTTAAATTACAAAATGAGGTAATCTCCAGAGAATGGGGGTATGAGAATGGGAATGGATCAAAGCTCAAGGAAAAATGTCAGATAATCACTGTGGGGAGTTAGAAAATGACCTATCTCATGGCCAGATGGCTGGGCAGTATTAATGGCCCCGTTGAGTCTGGAGGTCATGGGTTTACAATGGCATTAATCTGCTCCTATCGTTCCAGCTTTCATTCTCTTACCCCCCATTTAGCCTGGTCAATGACCTGTTAAGAGACTGGCAATTCCTAGTCCCCTCTGTTTCCTCCCAGATTACTAGCTCCCTCTGCCCTCTTCTTTTTCCGTGGTCTAGATCCCATGGTAGATCTGAACTGCCCTTCCATCAACACCTTCAAATCCCATGTAATCATGTTCTTCCACTGCACGCACAGAGGAAAATCCCATCACTTGGATAATCTGCATCTGGATCACTGAGGGCTTCTTGAGTAAACCACACAATCAGACAGACTGGCACTGCCACAGTGTCAGGGGCAACAATCTCATTCAGCTGGATCTTAGTACCTACCATCAGTTAGCTCTTCCACTGGCTTGAGACAGCTCTCTCTCCCTTTCCCCTCAGTGGCTAATTCAGATCCTCACTATTTTACCCACCCTTCTTTCCCTTAAACTTCTCAAAACCTCCTCCCCACTTCACAGAAATGTGAGGCCACCTACTAAACACAATGGCACTTGACATTCTGTTCCACCACCTATAATGTATGTATACCAGGACAGAGATTAAGAGGGCTCCTACCCTTGTCCAAGGCTATACTCTTTCACAAGTGCCAATGACACACACACAGCACCCTGCATGCCTGCTTTCTCTCCTGTATCTCCAGCCTTTCCCAACTACTGGCATTTTCCTCTCAACCTGTATATATGTAGTAGCATTTTCTATCCCAAAAGTAAATAATAAAATGTTCCCTTGACTATGTCCCCATCTCTAGCTGGTATCCAATCTCCCCTTCTCTTATCAAAATGTTCAAGATATTATCTGTACTTGCTGCCTCTAGCTCCTTACCTCTCATTCACTTCTGGACTAACATGGCTTCTACTCTTATATTTCTGGCATAATTTATCTTGGTAAGTTCTTTAATTGCTTCATAATAGTCAGGGCCACGGGGCATTTTTTGGTTTTTGTCACTAGGTATTTTTTGGTACATTTGATTGGCAATGTTGATGATTTCTTTTCTCTTGAAATTCTATACTCCTTTGGTTTCCATGGCACTGTGCTCTCCTATTTCTCCTCATAACTCTGGCTATTCCCTCTCCACTTCTTTTGTGGGCTCTGTCCTCCTTGTAAATATCGAGGCTCCTGAGAGTTCAGGATATGGAAAATTCTGTGATTGGAGGTCACTGATTATATCTCAATTTTTAAAAAGTATACATGATAGTTATAGGAAACAAAAGAAGCACTTTAAGCCCTGGCCGATAATCTCAGTGGTTAGAACACCTGCCTGCGAACCAAAGGGTCTTAGGTTTGATTTTTGGTCAAGAGCATGTATTTGAGTTGCAGGTTCAATCCCTGGCCCAGGTCAGGGTGCATGCCGGAAGCAAAAGATTACCGTGTGTCTCTTATTTCAATGTTTCTCTCTCTCTCCCTTCCTCCTGCCCTCCTTTCCACTTTCTCTAAAAATCAATAGAAAAAACTATCCTCAGGTGAGGATTAATAAAAAGAATAATAATAATAAATGAAGTACTTATATGTTTTTGTAGTCCTTAAGAGACCTTTCCGGTTATAATCATGTTTTTAGTCATAATCATTTGATAATTATAACATAGCACTAGAGGCCCGTTGCACGAAGAGATTCGTGCAATAGGCCTTCCCTTCCCCTGGCTGCCGGCACCGGTTTTCCTCCGGGACCCAGGCCTTCACTGTGGCCGGAGCCTTCAGTCTTCGCTCCACCACTTCACGCCTACATATGTAAATTAACCGCCATCTGTTAGGTTAATTTGCATACTCTCCTGATTGGCTGGAGAGCATATTGGAGGGACAGTCAATTTACATGTTTGTCTATTATTAGGTAAGATTATATATTTTAGTGGATCCTCTCTCTTTAATCCTAAAGTACATTTTCTATCATGGACAGCAGCAAAGGGAGTTAGGAGTATGGGGAACATAGTTTTTGAGACATTGTAAGCCCAAAAATGCACGTACAAGTAGTAAGATAGTCATGGTTATTGAAATAATTTCTGTTTTGGGAACTTGTTGTAGGCATTTTCTCTGGGGGCTATCAACCTGATATTACCGTCAAAATCTAAGCATGATAGTCACAGGTAAAAGTCCAAATGGGGCTTTACCTTTTGGCAAGTATTTCCTAAATGAGAGGGTATAGTTTCATCAGAGTAAAGATTAGATTGAGGTTTAATATTGAAACTTTGGTTTTATAGAGAAACATTGACCTAATGGTCATTTAAAATCTTTTAAATATAAAGCCATATAGCATATCAGTAGTGCCTAGGACAGCATACCATATATCAGTAAACATCCTATATAATAAAAGCGTAATATGCAAATCGACCAGACGGCAGAACGACCAGTTGGCAGGGGGCAGGGCCGGCGAGCTGGCGGTTCCAGGCCAGCCAAGGAGTGTGCCAGTGGGCAGAGGGAGGGAACGGCAATGGGGGGAATGGCAACCAGCGGCGGCGGAGGGGTGATGGGGGGCAGCACCGTCCCCTGATCGGCCAGCCCGGTCACCTCCCTCAGTAGGACATCCCCTGAGGACAGACTGTGAGAGTGCGCAGGCCGGGCTGAGGGACTCTCCCCCTCCAGTGCACAAATTTCCATGCACCGGGCCTATAGTCTATAATAATCTATAATAATAAAAGTGTAATATGCAAATCAACTGAACAATAGAACGACCTTCTGGACCACCATGCTATGACATGCACTGGCGCCAGGCCAGCCAAGGCGGGTGTGATGTGATTGGTCAGGGAGGCTCCGCCATCGCCCCATGATCGCCCTGCAGAGGGAGACCCAGGCCACCCTCTGCGAGGCGATCGATGGGGGGGCTCCGCGATCGATTGCCCTGCAGAGTGAGGCCCAGGCTACCAGGCTGGCGGCCCTGCGGCAGGTGGGTGGGGCCTCCCTCTGCGGGGCAATCGATCTGGGAGCCCCGCAATTGATCACCCCACAAAGGGAGGCCCAGGCCACTGGCCAGCAACGCTGTGGCAGCTGTGTGGGGCCAGCCAGCGATTGCCCTGCCAAGGGAGGCCCAAGCCAGCCAAGTGATCACACCCCCATGCCTATCGCCTGCAGAGGGAGGCGAACAGTGGCGGGGGAGTGGGGAGCAGTACCACACAGATGGCAAACAGTGGCAGCAGCGGGGGCAAGATCAGCTGACAGCAGCCGGGGGAAGGAAAGCCCAGATAGGCCCTGATCATCGGCCAGGCCTAGGGACCCTACCTGAGGGGTCCCGGATTGCAAGAGGGTGCAGGCCGGGCCGAGGGACACCCCCCACCCCATGCATGAATTTCATGAACCGGGCCTCTAGTTATTTAATAATAATTTTCCATTTCACTTTTAATTATAAATTTCTATTTATTAATGGAGTTCTTAAATTAATTTGAAGCCATTCATTTTGAAACATTTTGGTATATGTTTGCCTATACTTTGGTGTATGTGTTGACATATACTTTGTTTTAATATCTTTGGAATTTGAAACATTTAAAAATATTTTGTATTCCATAACTGCTATTTTTAGTCATTATGAATAATCAAAATGGAAAAAATAGATTTAATATGATCTGATTTCAAACACTGAAGTGCAAATAATTCAGAAGTAATATGTCATAATTGTATCCTTTGAAAATAAGTGAAGGATTTAATAAATATTAATGATATTTGAAATAGTCGGTATCTATTAATTATATGAATGCACTATAGATGATATAAAGTAATGCAGAAATCGGATTTAGGACACATATGTGTGTTACGGATATCAAATTCTTTTCTAAAACCCTTACAAGCTAAATTTTTTCAAACATCAGTGAGTGGTTGAAAAAGACATTCAGTTTTGATATTAACTATACTCTAATGATAGAAGAAATGAAAATGAGATCTAACAGCTGTGTCTGATATTTTATTTCTGCTTTTTAGATTTCCATTTTGACAGTGCCAGCAGAGGAACCAGGAACTTCTGCTGTTCGGGTCATTGAATTATGTTCTTCAACAATGACATGCATGAAAGGCACATGTAAGCATAGTAGAGTCTAGTTATTTGTCTTTTGTGTTTGTTTAGAAAGTAAAAGAGGGCAGTTATTGTTAAAGTTGCCAGGGTTGTGTTTATAGAGTGTTTTTTATTCACAGTCTTTGTTCATACAGTGTGTATTCATACAATAAGTCATTTCATACCTACCCCTTGCTTTTAAATTTTTCTGTGGCTAAATCTTCACAGGCACTATTGTTAAGTTTTTCAGTGAAAGAAGTTCTGTGACTTTCCAATTTTTTTTTGTAATTTTTCTTAAGCTTATTGGAAACATACTTTCAAAAAATTTATTTTCTGCCTAGCTGGTGTGGCTCAGTTGGTTGACATCGTCCCTGCGCCAGAAGGTTGCCAGTCAGGGCACATGCCCAGGTTGCTGACTTGATCCCCAGTACCAGGCATGCAGGAGGCAATCAATGGATGTTTCCCTCTCATCGATGTTTCTATCTTTCTCACACTTTTCCTCTCTCTTCAATCAATAAAAAACATTTAAAAATTATTTTCTTTGCTGCTAGTTTTCTTGTTTACTTTTCTTGGAATTCTTTTTTTTAATATTTTTATTGATTTCAGAGAGGGAGAGAGAGATAGAAACATCAATAATGAGAGAGATCAGCCGAAGGACTTGTATGCATGCATATAAGCATA